AAATTATGTACCCCATAGCCATGCCCCTAATTATCCACTTCATCCAGCCACAGGGAACCTGCCTCCAGTTACCACTCCATTAATCCCATGAGGAATTAATTATCTGATTAGGTTAAGGCTATACCCCACTCATTTCTCGGCCTAACCTTGCATTGTCTCACACAGGAGCTTTTGGGAACACCACATCTAAACCACAACAGTGCTCAGTAATGCTTCTTAGGAATGAGTCTTGCACCTTACCTTCCATATGGAATTTACATTCAAGAATTCTGTCACCTATAACTAGAACATTTACTGAACACCGAGTTCTAAGTGCTCGAATTAAATATGCTAACTCACTTAATGTTCCTAACGAGAACGAGGGATAAGGACTTGTTTTTCCATTTCATTGGCAAGGAAACCAAGGCCCAGGGATGCATAATTATTAAATGCTGGAGCCAGGATTTCAACCCCAGGCGTCCGGGCGGCTTGCTTTCAGGACCTCATACCGCTGCCTCTCGCAGTCAACTACCTGCAAGCAGAGATCACTCATATCTTGGGCACACACTGTCACACACTCGTGTGCATAAAGCAATGTATGCTTTTATTTCTCTGAATCCTTCCCTCGGAGCTTTATCGTCCCAGGAGCTCCGGCGCTTTCTGAACAGGTGAAAACCGTTGCGGGTTCACCTGGCCCAGGGCAAGCCGCGGGCTTCCCCGCCGCCCCGCGCATTCCCGCTGCACAGGCCTCGGGGCTCCCGAGGCTTTGCTGAGCACCTACTGTGCTCTCACGGTGCCCAGGCATCGGAGAGGTCCGGCTGGAGAGCAGCCGCAGCGGGAGCACGGGAGCAGGGCGACGAGCCATGCCGGTCCCAGCTGGCCGGGCGCCGCGGTCCGGAGCCAGGCTGGCCTCGGGAGGCCGGCAGGACACGCGGTTGCCGGGCTGGAGGAGTCCCGCGTGGCCTTTGAACACGCCGACGCAGTCCAGCCCTCGGGAACCGGACGCCTGCTGGCCAGCAGGTCTGGCGTGCCGCCGCGGTCAGAGGCTAAACGGCCCGCGCCTCAGGCCTCCGGCTCCAGGGCGCTAGGCCGTGCAGCACCTTCCGCCCTCCAAGTGGCCCACCTGGAACTCCAGCCCATAGATCACCGGCGCATCGTCCTCCATGCTGCGATGGGCGGCCCACGGTGCCTCTGACGCCGTCAGACCCTCACTAGAGGCAGCGCGTACCACCTCACCCGGGGCTCCCAACGCCCATTCATTCCCTGCCCCAGACAAACGACTCGGGTCCTGCACCTTTCCTGGCCCAGGCCGACTACCGTAGGGCTCACTTCCTGTTTACGCGACGCGTCATCAAGACGCTCCCAGCCGGCAGCCAATGGCCGCGGCGCGTGGCTCGTGCGCAGGCCCACACGGGCTCCCGCGGGTCAGCTACAGGGTCCCAGGGCGGGAAGGCGGGGCTGGTCTCGTGCGTGGGGCGACTGGGCGTCTGGCTCGTCGCAATTCTGTTTTCTGGATGGAGCCCTCCCTGCACCTAACCTTCGATAGAGTGGCCGGAGCTGGGGCATCAGTACTTGACTGCCAAACGGCAGTCCCGGGTGTTGGGCCAGCGCCTTGCACTCCAGGGCAGGATCTCCGCTGCAGCCCGCTGCGCGGCTCAGACCCGCCCATTTTACAGCTGGCCACTGCGAACTCGAGTCACCCCATCGCGATGGCACTCGCGCCGCAGAACCGGGCCGACCTGGCCTGGGACTAGGAGTCGGCTGGGAAGGCCGCGGGGGCTCCCGCGGTCGTGAGACGTAAAGCTCGCGATGGAGAGGCTGCCTTTAAGGTGCAGCGCGCCCAGAGCGCCCGCCCCGCGCTGGGCAGCACCCTAGGGAAAGGGCAGTGGCGTGGCGCGCATCTGTAGATGGTGTTACCTAGAAGCCCCTTCGCTGCCCGGCCCCCGGGGTTCCAGGACCACACACCTCTACGGTTGTTAGATGTTCCTTTCTAATTAGACTTAGTGACAAACAGCTGGCTCTGGTTTTGCTGATTTGCGACCAGCACCATGCTGGGGTTCAGTGGGAAATCACGCAAGCAGGGGGCCAGCCACAAGGACTGTGTCCCACCTTGGCCGGGCTTAGCTTGGCACTTAGTAATCCACCCCCAGGTCATCGCTGCCGTCGTTCTGGTCAGTGCTACTGCACAGTTCTTCAGGTGCATCATGGGAAACGGAGAGAACCAGCCAGCCACAAAATCCTGGAAATGAGTATTTTTAGAAAGTGTCTCCCTTTCGCCTCCTGCTCTGCCGTAAGCTTTCGGGTTGCCCTGGTGTCAGGACTCGAACCCACTGTCGGGATTTCCGTCCACATTCCGGGGACTAGGCCGGCCGGCAAGTTCGCACCTCAAGATGCGGACGCGGGCCCGTGCCCCGCCCACCTCCGAGGAACCGGAAGTTCAGGAGCTTGGGGTCCCGCACCGCGGGTTCCTGAACTGAGCATGCGCGGAAGTGGACGCGCAGGCGCAGAAGTCGCGGGCCCCCCGGAAGTTGTCACGGTTCCTATCGCCGCCTCCCCGACTTTGGTCTCCACAGACAACCCCTTTCCCGGCCCCGGGCGAGTGGCAGGTGAGGACCAGCGTCCCTGCGGCCAGGGGGCGGGCCTGCACGCAGACCCTGGCGCCCCCCGCCGCCCTGCCCTGGCTCTCCCGCGATCCGTGACGGTGTCTACGGGGAAGCGGGCTTCGTGGTCCCGCAGCCCAGCCTCCTCACCTAGGGATGCGGAGTGAGGGGGAGCCCAGCAGCTGTATCTGAGGATGGGATGGGCAGGTGGCAGGCACACAGCAAGTGCCAATCAGTGTTGCCGGTTTCTGCTGTCAGCCGTCGGTGCTCCATGAGCACGACCTCTCCCTTTTGCCCTTGCTGTTCTCAGTGTCTCACTTTCCCAGAATTAGGGAGACGGTATTATAAACTGAGGGAGCGGGGAAGAGATTGTTAGATTGGAGTGCCTTGGTAGGCCCCCATGGAGTCTTAAGGAATAAGTAAGACTCATTCGAATGGCTATTATTATATGTTGGCAAGGATGTGGAGAAATCGGATCACTTGTGCACTGTGTTGGTAGTGTAAAATGATTCCATACCTGTAGAAAAGTTTTGCAGTTCCTCAAGTAAAAATCCAATTACCATATGATGCAGTTCAGTTCTACGGGGAATACCGAAAGGAATGGAGAGCAGGACCTGGAGGAGAGACTGGAATACCATGTTCATAGCAGCAGTATTCACTTCAGCTGAAAGGTGGAAACCTCCAGTGTCCATTAACAGAGACAAATAGATAAATGGTGCTATAGGCTTGCAATGGAATATTATTCACCCATTTAAAGGAGATTTTGACATGTGCTACTTACAGCATAAATAAAACTTGAGGACATTATGGGAAGTAAGATACTCCAGTTACAAAAACAATTATTTTACAATTCCATTAATATGAGGTACCTAGTCAAATTCATAGAGATGAAAAGCAGGGTGGTGGCCTGGGGATGAGCATAAAGAGGATCATTTAACTAGATTTTTGGTTTTGCAAGAGGAAAGAATTCTGGAGATTGGGTACACTACAATGTATATGTACTTAACTATACACTTAAAAACTAGTTAAAATTGTATATCTTATGTGTATTTTTGCCACAATTAATTAATAAGTAAAAGACTAGGAAAGAGGGACTGGGATTTTGGCTCAATGTTAGAATGTTCACCTAGCACGTGCGAGGCCCTGAGTTCGATCCTCAGCGCCACATAAAAATAAAATAGATATTGTGTCCAACTACAATTAAAAAATAAATATTAAATAAAAAGTCTGGAGAAAGAGATGTTTCTGATTTTGAACCATTTAAATATTTTACTAATAAATATTCCTCCAACTAAAAAAAAAGACAAAAGTAGCTTTAAAATACCTGAATAGACAGGTGATAAGGTTAATTTATGATGTCTTTCTCCCAGGCAACATGGAGAGTGCTAAAGATGGTGACCACAGCATGACCAAAGAGTCTCCTCCAGAGGTGGGAGCCAAGAGCATCTCCAAGCAGGCAGCTCAGGAGGAGCAGGGGCAGCTTCTGTATCATGAGGAAACCATTGATCTTGGTGGAGATGAGTTTGGGTCTGAAGAGAATGTAACTGTGTCAGAAGATTCTAACAACTTTGCAGATAAGCTTAATGAGCACATGATGGAGAGTGTCCTTATTTCTGACTCTCCCAATAACAGCGAAGATGATGTGGGTGACCTTGGCTGTTTGCAGGATATTGTGGAGCCCATAGAAGACAACACTGATCACAGACTGGACAATATCACAGAAAAAGAAGAAATGGACATTCTAAGTAATGACAGTGAAATTGATGGAGATGACACACCTAGAGATGTTTCAGATATGACCCCTGATAGCAGAGCATCTTTGAAAGAAGACTCTACCCAGGAAGAGGTGAAAGGCGTGTCCGCTCTTGGGAACACTGGTGCAGAGGACTTGGTGCCCAGGGATGAAAATACTCACCCAGAAGAACAGGTGTCAGACCTGTCTTCTAGTCAGTCCTCTTCTAAGGAAGAGCCTGTGCCCATGTGCACCATTTTTAGCCAATCAAATTCAGCTCCTTCCCAGCCACACTTGTTTCTGCATGGTGGCTTCGAGTCTCAGATGGTGAAGTCTCCGAGTTTCAGCAGTGCGAGTGAGACCTCAGCCAAGACCCCTCCTCAGGTGGTCCAGCCCAGCCCAAGCCTGAGTAAATTTTTTGGAGATACAATCAACACTAATTCTTTGGCCTCTGACTTCTTTGATTCCTTCACCACTTCTACTTTCATTTCTGTCAGTAATCCCAACGCAGGCTCTTCACTTGCTACCCCTGTGGGAGAAGAGTCCCCGGATTCTGCTGACCCATCTTACTCTGCAGGGATGGAAAGATCTGAATCAGGTGTTTCTACAGCTTCTCTGGAAATTCCTGAGTCTCCAAACCCTTTTTCACAGATGCAGGCGGTATTCGCAGGGAGTGATGACCCTTTTGCCACAGCCCTGAGCATGAGCGAGATGGACCGAAGGAATGATGCTTGGATTCCCAGCCAAGGGACCAAAGATGTCCTGATCTCCGTAGCAACCCAGCAGTACAGCACTGTGTTTATAGACAAGGAGAACCTCACCATGCCAGGCCTGAAGTTCGACAACATTCAGGTAAGATGAGGAATATTTCTGTTTTCATATCTCTTCTCTTTGAATCTGTTTCTTTGAAGTATGCATAACATCTTTCAAAGGTGGAAAAATACATATTCTTGAATAATTCTTAAGATTCTGATTATGAGAGCTTATGTTATTTTTCTCTGTAGGTAATTAGGAACTATAATGTATTTAAGATACTACTTGTCAAAGAAATAAATACTAGCAGGTAGATCATTATATAATGGTTCTCTGAAGTAGCTTTATTATATGTGTGATCAGTTAGTTCCTGACATTTGAATTCCAGTAAATGATAAATCCATTTCTTCTTTTAAAACATGGAAATTTTATTTGTATTGCATATAACATGATTGAGGAAGAAGGAATTTTAGTAGAATTGTATTAGTCTGTTTTCTACTCTTATAGCAAAATACCTGACTCTGGGTCCTTTGTAAGAAAAAAAAGGTTTATTTTGTTTAATTTAGAGGCTAAAAGTCCAAACAGCATGGCACTGATTTTGGTAAAAGCTTTCCTTGGCAGTATCACATCATGGAAGGAGTCTGTGCAAGACACAGAGATTACATGACAAGCCAGAGAACAAGAAGGGAACAGTCTTGCTCTTTATAAGCAGGGTCCCATGAGAACTAATGAGGGCAGTGTCATGAAGGATCTGATTCCTCCCAGAGGCCCTCTCTCAGAGGCCTCACCACCTCTTAACATCACCTCAGTGGAGACCAAACCTCCAGCACATGAACCCGTGAGAACACATTAGAACTACATCCAAACCTTAGAACTGCATCTGAGCCTCGAGGACCACACTCATCTCACAATGCAAAATGCAGAAATTCCGTGCTTTGTAGTCCCAGTGTCTTGCCTCATTCCATCATCACTCAAAAGTCCAAGTCCGAGCTCTCGGAGACTTGCAGAGCTTTCTGATGAATCACGGTCTCTGATTTCGGGGATATTTGGATGTGTGGGATCTGATATTCTTGTTCACTGAAGCCTGGCTCCTCCTGGCCTGTACCCCAGGACGGCTTTAGTGTGTGCTTTTTCCTGTCTTCATAGGTCTGCTGTGGCTTCCTGTGCCAGCAGTGGCTGGACCTTTAGCTCCCCCTTTTCAAACTCTGTTGTTGGTGCTTTGCTTCCCTGTACTTGAGCCTCAGTAGGAATCTGAAGGTTGCCCCAGAAAAGACTCAACCTAGTGGGGGGTTCCCAACAGCATGCCTTTGGAAGTGTGCAGAGGTGGCTCACTATGGTTGACAGAGGGCTGGAATGAGCATGTGACATATAGGGAATGGGCCCAAGGATGCTCAGAATCCTTCAGTGGGAGTTAAGTATCAAACAACAAAACTATCATCTGCCCAAAATGTAGGTTATTCTTGAGTTGAGAAATAGCTCTTTCAGTTGAACTGAAATTAGATTCAACATGAAAGTGCCATCCACACGTTAGAGACCTCTGTGACGGGTCCTCCTTAGCGTGGGCCTCCAGTTACTCATGCCCCAGTACAGAACCAGTAGAGGCTCTGGCCTCACAGAGCACCGCTGCATAAACATGGCCAGAGCCAAGCCTTCATTAAGTACCAAAGATGTGTCTTCCACACCTCCTGCAGTTCACAGTGGTTATTTTGGAAATCTTGTGGTAAGTATAGAGTTTGAACTCAGAATATTCTTGAAATACCTTTAACTTGGACATATAACAGACGTGCTAGATGTTTCCTCGTTCAGTGTCTCTTCAGTTGCATCTTATCCTTCGAAAAACTTCTCACTCTTGCAATAGAAAGAAAAGACTATTGAGATTTACTTTGAATGGAAATACAGTGCGTGTCTGTTGAGAACTGGGTTGGCATAACAAAGAAGAGTTTTGCTGTTGGCGTTCTGAACACCCAAGTTTTTAAGACGCCAACCAACCCTTTGTTTGATTTTTCTGATGATGAATTTCTCCCGACACTGTTAAAGTGTTCTGTGTGCTAAATTAGCTTCCTAAAACACTTATATTTGAGTTTCCCCTCAAATTTCTCCTCTATTAATATCTAATTAAAAGACCCCTTCTTATGGGAAAATTGTTTTTTAAAAATTGCATCTTTATTAAGTGACTTTTATAGCAGTCTAAGTTAAATTAGAGGCAGTAGAAGTAAATTTGTAAAACTTTCTCCAAGTATAGTAGCATCACACAAAGAGCATGTGCATTTTCAACTAATTGTAGTTACAGATGCCATTTGATCTTCTTAAAGAGTAAATAAGAAACTTTAGGACCCAGTAAGGAATGGAAGTCAGAGAATTGTTGTATGAACCTTGTTCAGGAAAGAGACAGGGAGGAGATAAAAATAAAAGCGGAAGTTGGGTAGTGAAGGTTTTGCTCTTGGGCCACATCGTAGACCTCCTGTAAGGGCTTTGCCTCTTACCGGTCAAGAAACCTGGCAGGCAGCTTCAAACCTGGATGCCCCTCACTTCTTTCTCATCCCGTTCCGCTTTATTCTCCTTCCCCTCAGCCTTCCCAAAGCTTGGATTTGACAGGATTCCTTCAAGGAGCCCACAAGGTCTATGTCAAGACTCCTTGTTTAGACCACCAGAGTCCTTATGTCAGAAACCCTGAGGCCTCCAGAAAGCCAGAATGTCACTGACACTGTGTCGTCTTCAATCCATCCGTGGGCTCAAAGCTTCCGAGGTGTGGACAGTATCTGTTGCTTGAGAAAGGTGACACAATTGGTGCATTCACAGTGGGGTGCTGCGTCCCAGGCGTCCACTCTGCTGGGATCACTAAGGAAGAGGGCATGAGCCCAGCCCTGCCAGCCTAGACCAGGGGAGCAGTCTGATAGTAGACACTTTCCTTACTGTAACTCAGCAGAGAACCCAGCTGATTTCCACAGGTGCAATTGCCTGATGCAGCTGGTGCATGACACGGCCAGTACCCGAACTCAGAGTCGCTTTTCCTTGGTTCTGGGCCCTATCTTATGTAACGTAGCATTCCTGTCTACCATATAAATCTCTAATTCTATTTCTCTCAGAAAGACTTTGTTTGGGCTAAAGAACTAGAAACCACCACTAATCATCAGAGAAGGGCAAATGAAAACCACAAAGGGATGTCACCTCATGCCTGTAAGGATGACTGTTACCAAAAAGACAAGAAATAGGAATGTTGACAGGAATGCAGAGTAGTATGTCCTTATGGAAAGCAGTGTACAAGGTCTTCAGAAAATCAAAAAGGCAGGACCCACCAGTCCTGCCTTTTGGCTGTTTCCAAAGGAATTGAAATCTGTATGTCGAGAACTGCCTGCATCCTCATGTCCATATATTCCTGATAGCCAAGACAGAGGGTCAAGCCTGGTGTCCATCTCTGGAGGAGTGGATAAAGCAGGTGTGGTGTGTACACACGATGGACTGTTATCCAGTCTTTAAAAAGAAGGAAATCCTATCATTTGTGACAACCTATATGGCCCTGGAAGACAAGAGGCTAAATGAAGCAGCCCAGAGAGAGAGACAATTGCCCATAGTCCTTCTTGAGTGTGAATTTGGAGAACTGAGCTTGCAGTCCTTCTTGTGTGTGAATCTAGAAAAACTGAACTTCCAGTCCTTCTTGTGTGTGAATATAGAAGAACTGAACTTACAGTCCTTCTTGTATGAGAATATAGAACTGAACTTGTAGTCCTTCTTGTGTGTGAATATAGAAGAACTGAACTTGCAGTCCTTCTTGTATATGAATCTGGAAGAACTGAACTTGGAGTTCTTCTTGTATGTGAATCTGGAATAACTGAACTTGCAGTCCTTCTTGTATGAGAATATAGAACTGAACTTGTAGTCCTTCTTGTGTGTGAATCTGGAAGAACTGAACTTGCAGTCCTTC